AGCCTGAGGCCGGCGGCCAGGAGGCTGTGGGTCGCGTAGGTGAGGGCGCCTCTTCCTTGTGCTGAACCCCGACCCTGGAGAGGAGAAGCCGGCGTCCCTGGAGGCCAGCGGGCACGTGCCACTGTAATCACCCCCCTCGGGCCCCGGAGCCCTGTGGGCCTTGGGGTGCACAGAGAGCACCCCTTTTTTATGGAGGAGGAAGCTGAGGCCCAGAGAGGGCACGTGGCTCGTTGCCCACAGGCCGGAGCCCAACCAACGTGAAGGCCTCCCGGCTCCCGGGGCCGAGAATGGCCAGTGGATCGGCTGTGATCGGGGAACAGGGTCAGGGGGTCAGTGTCCTGGCCTCTGAGGTCAGGGGGGGCCAGGGGGGAAGGTGGAATTGCACAGAGGAGGTGGCACCAGGCAGGGACACTTGACACCTTTTTTAAAAAATTTTTTGTTTATTGATTTCAGAGATGAAGGGAGGAGGAGAGAGAGAGAGAAACATCCGTGATGAGAGAGAATCATGGACCGGCTGCCTCCTGCACGCCTCGCACTGGGGATGGAGCCGGCAACCCGGGCCTGTGCCCTGACCGGGGAATCGAACCCTGACCTCCTGGTTCACAGGTCGACGCTCAACCACTGAGCAACACCTTCTAAGGCTGCTCCCCCTACTCTCGCTCATGGTGCAATCCCCCCTCCCCTCCCCCCTCCCCAAGGCTTGGGAGTCTGAGTGGGGGTGGCAGGTGGGTTTGGGGCTCACGTACCAGGTGAGCCCCCAGCCAGCCCCGCCCCCTAGACAGAGCCTCGAGGCTGCCGCCTGCCGACCCCTGAGGAAGACGGGGGCGGGGCACCCCCCTCGGAGGCTCTCAGAGGCCCCTGAGACGGTCACTGGACTAGACGGGGGCCCAGGCTTGCTCTGGATGTCGGGGTCACGGGCGCCCCTCGCACGGCAGTGTTGGGAGCGCGACTCTGGCCGGGGTGCGACTTGGGCCCAGACGGCAGAGCGGGCAGAGGTGGCCGTGGTCGGTCAGGACAGGCCTCCTGGGGGAGGACGCCTTGAACTTGGCTCTGAGCTGGTGAGGCCGATGATGGAGGCCGAGGAGAAACTGCAGACCAGGCGTGGGAGCGGGGTCCCGGCCTGTCTCTGGGAGCCTGTCGCAAGGACCGTAGGGGCTGTCCTTCAGGCCCCCCGCCCCGGCCCCTGCCACCTGGTGAAGGGGCGAGGAGAGAAGGGGACCCCCCAGGAACCCCAACCCCACGCTGCTCCGCGATGCAAAGCCATCTGCCGCTAATGACACCGTCGCCCCAGAAGCCTGTCATTGTGGGGCTCGGGGCTTGCAAAACAGTAATTAATCCTCACCCCCCTCTCCGGCCAGGGATGCAGGAAGGGGCGGGAGGTCCCCCGTGGGGCTGGGCGGAGGGTGGAGCCAGCGTCCTGCCCCCAAGTGGACTCCAACCTGCAGAGGCTGCTCTGCAGCCCTGACCTCGAGCTCCGGCCGGCATGTCCCTCTCCCGCGAGCCCTCCCCAAGCCGGAGGCTCATCCTTGTGGGACCCGGGGTCCTGATCCCCTGGAATGGGACGTTGCTGCTCCAGGGCCCCCCGGGCCAGCTGTTGGCCTGTAGGTGTCAGCCGACGCCACCGGAGAGCCCCAGGGGCCCCAGGAGGGGGTCGCCCGAGACTCTCTGTCCCAGCTGCTCTCTGCAGGCCCTGGCGGGGGAGGAGGAGGAG